GATCAAATAAGAATTCTGACGATTTGGCCGAAATCTTGATCAACGCAAACGGTAATGGACGAGTTTGAAACAAATAAATACATTGTATTGCAAGCTAGATGCTTGGCAAACGGGAAAGGAGTATTGGCCACCCCCAACGAAAGGTTAGGACACGGTTTGGATCCCGAAATTAAAAACGAGGTGATGCAGTTCTTCGAAAGCGACCAGATAAGCAGAGCCACGCCACGACTAAACGATTACGTTTCAGTGAAGAAGGAAGGTAAGATTGGCGCAGCTAAAAAGCAAGACCATGCAGGAGGTGGCTGGGTTCAATTCCCGGTCTGGTCTAGGAATTTTTCGGGTTGGAAAATTTCTCGACTTCCCTGGGCATAGAAGTATGATTGTACTTGCCACATAATTATACCAATGCAAAAATGGTACAGGCATCGAAAGCTCTCAATTAATAACTGTGGAAGTGCATTTATAACACTAAGTTGAGAGCACGCAATAAGCTAATATGCGATATGCAATAAGCTTGAAATGCGAAGAAGAAGAAGAATAAGAAGAAGAAGAAGATCCATATTCAAAAGCGACTTTTAGTTTGTACATAGCGAGAAGCTTTTATTTAATTTCAAGAAGTTAGTAAAAATGGCATTGCATTTAGTTCATTTGCAGCACTAAAACCAAAGCATTGCAAATTACATGGCTACTGATGAAGGTTCGGAGCGCATTTAGTTTTGAGTGTACCCCATTAGGCATAAATACGTTAGGCATACGGACGTTAGGCATAGTGGACGTTAGGCATAAAGTCATTAGGCATAATGGACGTTAGGCATAATATACGTAAGGCATAATGGACGTTAGGCATAAAATACCTTGCTGCTGTGCAACTCTAGAAACCTGCTTAACCTGTAAACCTGTAAACAATGCTTAAATTAGGTTTAGCGTTGAATAAAAAATGATACAAGTTAAACAAACATAGTTTATTTAATAAGCACAGTTTGGAATCCATTATTTATCATATCATAAGTGACGTATCTACATATTTACTTAGATCCATGATTAGTAGCGATAGTGGTTAAGTAATCTTACAATGAAAACTCAGCTTAGTTTTGAACTATATCTTGAAATCAATCGCATCTAGAAATAAAAAAATCACACGTTTGTTGTAATATATTCTTACACACATATTGCAAAAGTCAAAGAAGAAAAGGTTTTCCTCAAAGAACAGCTCATGAAATAAAGAATGGTGAATTCTGTGATTTTTCATTCAATAACAAAAAAACATACCTGCTGCTTCCAGGATTTCCTGCCATACTTTTCGATACAACGATTCTGATTTTGTTGTCATCAGAATTAAAACTAGCGGAACCGTCTGCTGATGTGAGGGAGCGATACTTCCATGAACAGTGACGAGTTGCCGAAACAAACAAGGAACTGTGGCAAACGTACCATCTGTAACCCAATACTTTGCCTATCCAAGACGTCGTTCATGAGTTCCAAAAATTAAGGCTCTTTCATTATTGTCACCGAAGTCAGCAATCAATAGACGGTCTCCATTTTCATCCTTCTGGAATTCATCCGGTAGATTATGCCTAACGTCCATTATGCCTAACGTCCTTTATGCCCAACGTCCATTATGCCTATCGTACATTATGGCTAACGTCCGTATGCCTAACGACCGTATGCCTAACGTCGTGCACCCTTTAGTTTTGTAGGGTTCGTGATGGTGCGGATGTTGATGGAAGCAACGTTGTAAGATGTGAGAGCCATTTATGGAAGCTTCTCTTCACCCCGCTCTTCGTCCTCGCTGGTCCGGCGCGGTTTACTCGGTGGTCGGCCCTGTCCCGCCTGCTACTCGTGGATGTGGAAGATTCGTCGGTTTCGTTGCCATTCCCGCTCTTGCTTTGCTTGCGCGTGTGGGGGCTTCTTGAACAGGTCAACCGTAGCCGTGCTGGTGTTGGCTGGTTGGGCAGTTACCGATGGCACGTTGCCGTTGGTGGTGCGGTAGGTTTCGGCTTGACTGGTTTCGGACCAGCTGGTTTTGGTTGCGGTCGTGGACCCGTTTGCTTCGTCACGTTAGCGTAGCTCTTCTGGACCAGAAGCTTTTTGTTCTGGACACATGATATGCCAGTGCGAGATGGGAAATGACAGGTGGGCAGGAACTCACGGTCTCCCAGTGTTGGTGAGTTCTTTGCCGTTAATGTTGACGAAAAGTTCACTATTTTGCTATACAGAAATTCAAAACAAAATTTTTTATCTGCGGATTTGGACAGTTTTTGACCTGTTTCATACGACCGGAAGGTGTATGCTGGTCACAAATGCCGTGCCAAACTGATTTCCTACACAATTAATCAATCTTTGATGTGAATTTCGCTAATAAACACGAGGAGCATTTCTTATAGCAAAACTTGCTATAACAAAATGGGCGGTTCTTTTTAGTAAACAAACTAACATTTCTTCCGACTGTGTCACCTCTCTTACTCGCCTAGGGCGCAGATTGCCAATCGCTCGAAATCCAACGCTCCGTACGGCAAGGGGACCCGCTGGCCATGCACCTCTTCGTGCTGTACCTCTACCCACTGGTGGTCAGACTCGAGCAAGCGTGCGGAAATGATTTGCTAGTGGCCTACGCGGATGATATCAGCGTCATCGTCACATCGGTCGGGCAAATCGAGACGATGAATGGTTCACTCGCATCGAGCTATTGCCATTGACGTTGGGTTTTGCGAAGGCAACGCGATCATCACCCCGTGGCTGCAAACAGCGAATGTAGTCAAAATTCTGGGTGTTGTCTTCGCAAACTCAATCCGCCTGATGACGACGTTGAACTGGGATGCACAGGTAGGGAAGTTCGCGCAGTAAATGTGATTGCACTCTCTACGGACACTAACGTTGCACCAAAGAGTCATCATGCTGAACACGTTCGGCACCTCCAGGATATGGTACCTGTCGTCAATACTGCCGCCAAGCACATGGCGAAAATTACATCAACGATGGGTACTTTCCTGTGGAGAGGAATGGTGGCCCACGTCCCAATGATGCAGCTAGCACGGAGCAGAGAAGACGGAGGACTGAAGTTGCATCTACCAGCACTAAAATGTAAGTCGTTGGCCATTAACCGGCACCTTCGTGAGATCGATTCCCTTCCTTATTATAGATCCCTTCTGCTCCACGTAAATCCCCGCCCAGCAATCTCTATAGATCTTCCTGACCTCAAAATAATCCTACCAAATTCCCCACTAAATCCAACAAAACCCCTCCGCCGATCAAATCCACCGACATTTCGTTCTCCAAACCGACCTGCCAAGGGTGGAACGTAATAGCCCGACAACCAACTGGCCGCGCACGTGGCGCAACATTGCGGCGAAGCAGCTCACTTCAGCGCAGCGGACGAGACTGTACCTCCTGGTCAATGAGAAGATCGAGCATCGCAAGCTATTATTTGTGATGCAGCGAGTGGCGGACGAGAACTACACATTGTGACAATCAAACGGCGGTTACTCTCCTCCATAAATTCTGCACCTGCACTCGTGTTGGCCCGGCTTGGACGGTCCTGCAGCAGAGGATAACAGGCATTTTGGATGGATGGAGACGACTCACATTTGAAGACCTGGTGAGACCTACCTTAATAGGAATAGGAAATACGAAACGTGTGGAAATTCTTAAACTTTTTATTAATTACATCTGCTTTGTTAATGAAAGTAACGGTAGAATTGATGTAGCTGAGTTAAATTTTCATCTAAATATAGAAAACTAATTGTAAAAACAGTGACAATAAAAACTAAACTTTTATGAAAAAAAATAAATAGTCTATTGGTGCAAGGGTAAGTTTAAGGTAAGTACATGCATATCTTGCAAAACTTATCATATTTGATGGACAATCACGTATAACTTACGAAAAGGGCATATTTTCTACAAAAAATTGATTATGATGAAAGTAAATTTGAAATATCTCGAAAACGGTTATATTTAGGAAGTTCATTGGTATGAGCACTATCGTTTGAAATGATTTTTATAATCATCAAACTGAACATTTTGCCGTAAATAATGAAAGTTTAAAAAATGTCTTAAAAGTTGTTCTTAGAAAAACTTTTTTATTAAAAGTTTGTCCATCCTGGAGTTGTTTTCAAAATTTTTGTTTTGTATTGAAATTTTTATTAAAAAAAATATAAAAAAAAAATCAAAAATACGTTTTTTTTGTTCTTTGAATTTGGCGTTTATTTTTAATTTTTTTTTGTAAAAAAAAAATCCTTGTGTATTTTTTTTATAAAGCTTTATTAGTTTCTTACAACTCCTTCTTAGTAATTTTTTTTCTACAACCAACTGTTTTCGAACTACATTTTTTTAAAGAAGGTGTGTTAAAACACATGGGCCCTTTTCAAAAATTACCCTTGAGTCAAAATGGTCTCCTCTCCTGCGGAAAATACTTGGTCTATCATACTGAAAATATGTGCCAAGTATCATCCAGATCGAAGATAGTCCAGTTTGGTGACTGACCGATTTGGCGTGGAATTGGTCAATATGGTATATTTGCTCACACGCTTAAAGTCACGAGTCCAATGGCCAAGTTGATCGTGCTTGAAATCATGTTTAATTCCATTTGCAATGGCAAATCATCGCACTAAAACACACTCCAAGCTCCATCTAGTCGTGTGCAGTCATCACGTAAAGGCACCAGCATTACATTTTCAATTCGTTCATAAGCCACCTTTCGTCATTTTTGCCCTGGAACGGCGAGCAGAGTACTCTGTAAAAACCACCCGTCATTAAATAGATTTTTCTGAAATGAAAATTAAATTCCTTCGACCATAAAATTCCCCAGCACACCATACTGATTGCACTTTAGCTTCTCCTGTGTGAAACCAAGAAACCCCGGAGCAGCAACAGCAGCAGCCCTCCTCCCTTTGAAAAGTATAAATAACAATAAACACTAAGGGCACATATATCACCCGGGGCTTTTGCGCTACGACACCCGGCTCCCGTTGCAACAATAAGAGAGGATGCCCAGGGATACGTACAGTTGATGCCAAGTTTTTTCGCCACTAAATCAGCCAGATCCTTGCAGTAGCCCTCGAAGCGATCGTTGCCCTCCAGCGTTTCGCCCGGCTCCGGCTGCCGGAGCATAATGTACGGCTCCTCGATGATGGTCGTTACGATGTAGGTCTTGTTCCGCTCGTAGTTCATGTCCGTTTTCAGCCGGGTGTACTTGGCCACCACCGGCGTCAGGCCGTTCTCGTCGGACCACTCGGCCACCTTCACCATCGCGCTGTTCACCGTCATCTCGACCACGTGCAGTGTGTAGTTTTGCCGTTTGCCATCTTCATTAAATCTTATGTCTCCCGTAAGGCCGGAAATTTCCACCTGCAAAAAGGTAGTTACGTGCGGTATGGTAGTGAGAGATAAAAGATATGTTTCACAACACCTGTGCGGTATAAATAACACATCTCGGTAGTAGCAGCAGCAGCAGCAGTAGACGTAGTCAGACGCAGAACAGACACTCTCTTTTTCATCCGCATCGGGAGTGCAGTACTGGCTGTCATAAATCTGACGCTGATGCTTCCAAGATGAGGTGTGATATCCGTGGGGATGCTCAAGGGAATTTCCAGGTGGAAATATCTTAAGAGCAGCAACAGAACGAAGACTTACCTTCCGCAAGTAGCGGGAGATTTTATCACCATGTTCCCACGGTGTCACCCATCCCTTGGACATGTTGCAATCCATCGGCCGGGTCCCGTTCGGTGGCACGTTGAACGGTTGGCCCCGGTTGCGCACGGTGTACGCCCGAAATTGATCCGGCTTTTTGCGAACGATTTTCGAGAACGCTTCCACCAGCACGAAAACCGCATCGTACATCAGGGCGGCCTGGGCGGAGATGAGCTCCTTGCCGGCCCCTTGCGATGTCAGCGGATCCAGCCGTTTCCAGCCGTCCAGGAATTCCTTCACGTACTTTCGGCTAGTGTCCACAATCCGGAAGCCGGTAATATTGATTGCACCGTACTCGATCACTTCGCTTTCCCAGCGGTCGTCCATCACCTGCAAGATAAAAAAAAAGAAGTAAAGTAATTGAGAAAATAAGTAACTTGGAACGTGAATCCGGTCTGGAAACGGAAGCAAAGCACCGAGAGGGAGAGAGAGAGAGAGAGACATTGCTACATGATTCGGTATAAATCACGTTTCCATAAATACAGAGTGTGTACATAACAACCGGGGGAGCGACGTTTTCCGTACATTTCCGACAAAGACACAGAAGTAAGCATGAGACCTTTGGGAGTTACACGGCAAAGAACGGATCGAAGCGGAAACGGAAAAAAAGAATCCGACGACTCGTTCCGCACCAGGATTTTTATTTATGTTTAATCATAGTTATTGATTAGAAATCTTCCATTCATTTGTACCGTCGCTCGCTGTGCTCGGATGTCGCTGGGTTGCCATGGAACATCCCGATGGCAACAGCAGCGGGGATTTATGATATGGTGACAGGAATTCGATTCCGGAATCAAACCGCTATTATTGAGAGAGGGGCTTTTCTGTTTGCCATTGCCGGGATAAAGTTCTCTGACAAGTGGAAGCTGTTTTACCGAGCAAGTGTTGTTGTCGGCGTTGTTCGGAATATATTGGATTTTGATTGTAGAATCCGGGTGTTTTACTCTTACTTACTAGGAAGGGTATACATACCGCTTGAAAAACCGGCTTTGGATCCGAGAGTCATATATTTACCAATCTACTCAGCTCGATGAGATCAGACCATGTCTGTGTGTATTGCGTGGGAAAAAATACACGAACTGTTAGTAAACCCTCAGACCTGAAATGGTATGCATCAGCTACGCTTGGCACAAAACGTCCGTCTCGGCGTTGTTATTTTAAGTGAATGTGCTGATAATTGAACCTATGATCATTTGCTTGTGAAGCAAAAGAATAATCAACTTAAATACGGCATACCCCATTATTGGCAGTGGGACTGAACTGACACAATATTGAAGCAACGACACAATATATTTTCTGATGCCCATAATCACAAGTCCGTCCCATCTGTAGAAAACTGGAAATGAGAAAACGGTGTTCAAAGTTTTTACCAGTTTTCTGATTTAACACTTATTTTGGAGGGATAAATTTAAAAATAAACGTAAAATGTGAAAAAATGCATCTATGTTTAAAAAAAAAATATTGGAAACATATCGTGATTATTTATTTTATGGCCAAAATCTGAGTGGGACTGACTTGCGATTACATTTAATGTCGATGAGAAAAATAACCGCAAGTCAATCACAATTCCATGACGATGCCACATTAGTTGAGCACAGTATTGGACAGTAGAAAGATACCATGGTCCTATAGAACGTTATTCCATGTTTCTGGATTTGTTCTGCTGGTTCCAGAGCAATTGCCGTTACATATTCTGTTGAGTATGGGTCTTCATCAGACCAGAGCTTTTCATAAACGTTCCAAACCCACCATGCAATAAATCAATTCACATAAGAAATAAGATCAATAAAAGTCATGATGAGTAACCAGCATCATGTTGGCCACACCCAGACATGTTCCGGGTATCCCCGGGGAAGTGGTAAATCCTATTTAAATCAAAATCCATCAAGCGATACATCAAATCATATGAGAAACTGTCAAACTGAGTATCTTAAGAACTATATTGGCCACATCCGAATTTGTTTCAGATACCCTAGGGGAAGTGGACAAAATCTGTCTTGAGACAAACTTCATGATGCGATGTGTTGTCTAACATTTCTAACATTCTAACATGTGTTTTTCAAATGGGACTGACTTGCGGTAACTTTTCGCTGTGGGACAGTTTGACTTGGTATTGTTTTTAATTTTTCTTGAACAAACCACCTTTTTTTCTATAGCACATCTCAAAAAACATAGAAAGATAAACTGAATAATGATGCTAACTCAAAATTGATAAAAATGCAGATGGGACTGACTTGCGATTACCGGCAGTTTACATCCCAGTAGGCACACCGTGTTCGGGATATATTCGTATACACGCGCAAATAGCTCTTGCTAAATAAATTAAGAGATGAACTAGCCTATGGCTAAAAATCTCTATAATAAAGGAAAAAAAAAAAAAAATCTTGCTAAATAAGCATTAGACTGATGCAAAATTTGACTTTTTCGCTCCACAATACTTACGATTCCAAATCGGATTCTTACTAACCTCTCAAAATTTGAACCCCTTTGGTGAGAAACTGAGATGGCACAAACCATTTGTATGGGACCAGTACCATACAAACCAGTTTGTATGGGAATTATTATGGTAAAACCAAGATTTTTGTTCATGTCTATCTTATAATTCACCATATTAGGCTGCTTCAAAAGCTTTCAACTGTACTTGTAGGAAATTTCCCACCTACAACTTTGCCGAAGACCACTTTTTGATTAAATGCAAGGATCGAAAGTTATCAATGGTTCAATGCGCTGATGTCTAATGATCATGCTCAATCAACTGCTCAGCAGGCAACATTGGTGTTTCTGGGGCGTTGAATAGGACACAAAAATCATGGCTACTATGTCACACTGCAAAATACAGTGTTGCCTACAGAGCAGCTGCTTGATCATGTCATAAGTTTACCAATCTCTTAAATAATTAATAACTTTTTCCTGTCTCGTTTTACATAAAAACAATCTTCAGCAAAGTTGTAGCTGAGAAAATTTTCTTCAATAATGGCTATCGAACTGTTTAGCAGCTTAATATGGAAAAAGACTAGAAGGCAATGAACAAAAAGTTGAGATTTCCCATAGTAATTTACATGTAAACTTCAAATGGCTTGTGCGAAGTCTGTTTCTAACCAAATGAGTTGTAACTTTGGGAGGCTAATCAGGACCCGATTTGAAACCATTTAAGCACTGTGGAGCGAAAAAGTCAAATTTTGCATCAGTCTAATAAGCATAATCTGCTTGAAACACAGTTCTAAATCATGTAATGCGTGCCTCGCACCTGCGAGATTTCGACCACTGAATACGCTTCCTGTCTCAAAAACGAGTAACTTAAGCGCCACCTACGAAGAGGACCACTCGTTACGGTTTTATTTGCCTGGCATGAAACTTCAGGACGGGTTTATGTGTAGAAGAGACCGAAAATTAGTTTGAGGGCGACTCAGTGGACTGAAATCCCATGAGGAAATGAGACCCTCACAGTGTAACAAGTACGCTTTCCATGTATTTAGTTATTTGTACAGAATTCAAATTTATACAATTCAGTCATTTCATTCAATTGCATGAAAGTTTCGTTTTAAAAGTGAAATAATGATCACCGCGTCAGTTCGAGAGTTGCAACTGTCATACAAAATGAGTTCCCTGCGTTCAGATGCAAGCGCAAAATAAAACTGCCTGTTCAGCGTACCGACGTGAATACACCGACAAACCGACATGAAACTTAAACTTAACTCCTGATCGAGAATCCATAACGGCCGCTTCAAATGTGCATCGATCCCATCTGTCAAAACCATAGAAATGTTTTATATCTAGATAAAAATAATTTGTCCGAAATAGATTAGACACGAACCAACTCATACATTTTGTACGCGTGTTCGTGGATAGGATAAACAATTTCCGCGAACACGGCGGCAGATGTCAGTTTTGTGCTTTGAGCACAAGTTCCTTTGTAATTTGTATGATCATTCATGTCGGTTTGTCGGTGGTGACTACGTCGAGAAGTGGACATCGACCCGCCAAATGTCCGTTCGGCTTTGCGCCCTCCCCCTGAAGAAATTCTCTGGATACTTGAACAGCCCGTCAGAAAGAGATGCTGCGAAGCTCTAACAATCCGGTGCACAATTGCTAGAATTTTGGCGTTCGTTAAATTGGACTTCATTCAATTCCACGATTCCGGGGGCAAAGTTCTGTACTAGCGGCTAACTGAGGAATGTCCTAGCTTGGATCGTTCAATTAGAATCGACTTGTGGAAGAGGCAAGAGTGGTCGGTTCTTATATCGTGTCGTGGTGTGTTAAAACCAGTGCTGATAAAAATAATTCCTTCTACACTCAACATAGCTGAAAATGAAGACAACCTTAACAGATAGACCAACTACCTGCATGAAGCTGAATTTTGACATAACAACATTCTTTTGATCAAGGCAACCTCTGAGTATCGTAGTCAACATTTGTTTTTCTTCATTCGTGGCTGGATGTTCATTATCGCCTCCGTTGTTGTCAATATTAATATTCGTCTTCATCTTGGTGGGGATGATTTTGAGGATCAAATGCAAAATGATTATTTCCATTTTACTCAAATATAGCAAACAAACCGATGGCAAATTATTGCCTCAAGGTGGACTGATGATAAAATCCCGGTTTTAGGCTCTGAAGTCGACAATATTCAAAATAATCATTTTGCCCAAAATGAATTTGATTATATTGCTTTTGAGGATCATTTCTGATTTTGACAATTTTGGATTGTATAATCAAGCACTGGAGAATATCAACAAACGTGTACTCGTTGATGTATAATGAACTCATTTGTTCATTCCGCTCGTACGTAACAGCTAAGATTTTCAAAACAAACGCAATTCATCTACACTGGGTTGAAGCGATACTCCTTGCGTGTGATGGTAAATGATAAAAACAGCCACTTGTTAAAACAGGTAGTTAGCAACATGAGAATCCCCACACCCAACCGGGGGATGTAAGATTTGCTTACAATTATGTGGGATTCATCATCAGAGGATGTTAGTGGAGACGCATGAACCGAGGAGGCGATATACCTAGCTGCAGTCCAATGCAAGAAAATTGCAGACCGAAAAATGTAGAGTGTATTAGAGAGGTAAATTAGTTATGTCGAAAAAAAAAATAGGAAACAGATTGCCGACTGGACTCGAACAACGATCGTTGCAATTATCAGACCTGCTCTCTCCATGCTTCTGAATAAGGATAGCCTAAAAGAAAATATGAAGCGTTCATTTTCTCGCATACTCGACTTCGTATGCTTTTTCTGCTGGAGAGATTCGAGGCAAGTGTGTGCGTCGTTCTACAATGTTCTACAATGTGCGTCGTTCTACAAGCTTACTGGTATAGTCGAAAGC